ATCTTCCCAAGATATTGCTTTTTCTTTCCTAGTGGAGCCAGACGTGCTTTAAGCTCCAGCCTCTTGTTAGATAAATCCTCTAATACAACAGGATATAATCCTTTCCTCTCAGATTGATTTTCATGACGTACGCACCAAGCTTGAACGTCACGCTTATTGAATTTAAACTCAATCGTATGAAGCTCGTTCCCATTTTTACAGACATTATCAGCCTTTTCTCGATCCAATATGATTTTTTCTGGGGAGAGGTTGTAGGCCATGATAATGCTAGGATATAAAGATGCAAAATCTAGACCTGTTACAGGTCTTTCTGTCATGATACCTTTTTTAGGTGGAAATACATACGCATTAGGATATTTCCTTTTTCTATGTCTTCAGGAAGCCTTGTACTAATTACCATATCTCATTTGATAGCACATGCTCTGAGAAGGTTCTGTACCTTCATTCCATTTGCACGATAATGTGTGTCAAAAAGAGAAATATAAGCTATGGAGGCAACTTTTCTATAATCATTTATTATACTTTGGTTTACCAAAAGCTCTTGACAGCGCAGTGCGTCTATAATACAGTATTGTGCTACTTCACGCATATTTCTCACAGTTGACGAAGAGGGGCTTTTTTTCGCCTTTGAATAGATTTTCCACATTTTATCATATGGCATATCAGCCTTACTGTTAAGACCGAATTTTTGTAGGAAGAATTTAAGTGAGCCTTCCTTTTCGACTTCAGAATGAGGAAAACGTTTTTTGAGGCATACTCGAACGTCAATCGGTACGCAACCTGGCAGTTTAAGGAAGCTAGAAGTAAAATAATCTTTTGCACTAATTTTGATCCTAATTGGACTACCCATATATTCTTTCTCCTCCAGATCCTCTTCACCTTCCTCAGGAGCCTTAACAGGATGCTTTTTCACGAAATTATTTTCAGATTTTGCTTCTATCTTTCCACAATATTTCCAATTTAAAATTTCTTCCTTTGTTTCGAACTTTCCTGTCATTCGCTCCCATATCCATTCGAGTATGTTGAGAAAATATGCTCTTTCCATAATAAAACACCAATCATAGTCTGAATCGTTAAACCCAACATGGATATCAGAGGCAAATGCTCGCCAGCAGAAAGCGAAAGCTTTTAGTAGATTTACTTGATTTCCGCAAATGATTGTGGGTCTGGTTTTATTTCAACATCGACAAGACATGTTTGCTTTAGTGGTTTTGGATCATCTTTCCAATGCAATGTCATAGAAATCATAAAAACATTATTATTCAGATCAAGGACTTCAGCAAATTCACCCAATTCTTGTGATTGCGTCTCTATATCCCAAGTGAGAACAAAAGTACGATCTCGTAAGAGAGCTAAATTGGGAAATCAGTCGCTTATTGTTGTAAGATCTTCCAGTGGATAGAAATCTTTTATAGATACGTAAAATTCGTGCGGACAAAGCGGGCTGATTCCTTTGCCTTGCTTGTAAATATATTTGTTTATTGTAAACCATCCAGAGAGTTGAATACCATTCTCTCGGGCTACCTTACGGTGAAATGAGTATAAATCATCTGAAGCAGTTTCAAAATTATTTTCTTGTATAGCTTGGATGGCTTTCTTTCTCTCTCCAGTACCATTCATATAAATTCGTAAATATGACTTTTTTTCGGAATGATAACCCCGAAAAGGAAATGCTTTAATGTGTTCTATTTTATATGATTTCGCAATGCCAGAGAGAATTTCGCTCACCTTTTCTTCGCATTTATCTGGAGTTTCTCCATCTGGTACGAGAATGTCAAAGAAAACCTGAATGTTCATAAGAGTTACCAGTGCCTTTTGGCCGTTAATTAGGTGACCATAAAGACGCAATACATAGTGGTACGTTCCATTTATCCTTTCTGTTGATCCTTCATTCTCAATGGCATGAATGGAATACCTTGTCATTTAGATAAAGCATTCTCGAGTATTAGAGTTAATCCCTCATCATTTCCAGCAACTATATCATCTAGCGTTGAAAAGCCTAACAAGTATTTTTTAGCGGAATAACGAATTACTTGGGCTTTCATTTTATCTTTTTCAGCCTCTGTGTGAAAAAGCGAGGCGGAGGCGTTAAGGAACTCTGAAAGCTCAGATTGTATCATAGTAAAAATTTTCAGATATGTTATCTAGTATACCGTTTCAGTATAATACCCCAACAAAAAAGTTTAAAATAAAAATAAATAATTATAGATATCAAAGTGTTATTTATCTAAGAATAATATCAATGGGCATTAAATATATTTGCCAGTATCGTTCTAATGAAGGGGAGGTTTGTGGACAGGGAAGTAGAAAACTGGAAGGGTGTTATATTCACTGGAAAAGGCACCAGCGACCTCTATGCAAACAAGATGGATGTGAAAGACCAACGGCTTCTGAATATGGATTTTGTGATTGACATGTAAAAAAGTATCACTCAAATGCATATTATCATCAGAAAAAGTTGGATAAGATGTTTCAGAACTGTCAGACCCCAGAGGCAATAAGACAGGCTCTCGATAAAATGAAAATGCCTAATGCTATAAATTGGTCTTAATGACTTATCAAAAATTTGGCCCTATGAAAATTTATAGGGACGGCAAAAAAACTTAACAATGACACGTTAATATAGCAAACTGGCAATTTAAGAACTCTCGAAAAGGAATTTACAACTTGTCCTTAAGAGCCTTAAGAGCCCTAAGAAATTTCGAACTCTTTATCTTTTTTTATTTTTTTTTTTACCTATAGGTATACATATATAAACCATACACATATATCATATATATATTATACACATATATCATATATATATATATATCATAGAAAAATCGAATTTTTTTTTTCTAGAACTTTAAAATTTCTTAGGGTTGATAAGTTTCTTAAGGACAGATAATAAAGAATTCAATAAAACAAGCTAAGAAGCCCAAAAATAATATCAAGGTTGACCTTAAGAATTACCCCAAGAAAATTTGATATTAATTTTATAAGGACACAATTTCATGGTAACGGCAAAAAATTTGGCATATATATCTCCTAACAATATAGTAGAAAGATCATGCCTTACTTTGGTAATGCTCTAATATTGAAAATACGCAAAAAATAATTATTCTAAAGTGTATACAATAATAATGAATTCTGAATATTATTCTTTGAGACGGCAAAATACTGAATTACAAATTGAGCTTACATTAACTCGCAAGATTTTAAATATGCAATTAGAAATAGATTCATTACGAGAACAAGTCAAATCGAAAAAAAAATACTTTCTCCTATAACAAACTCTGTCCTAGAAAATGGTCCAGTAAAATTTCTGCTCTAGGACGCTTAAAAAATAGCATATACATTGTCTCAACGCGATTTAAACGATGATTAGACCTCGGAAGTGCTCAGAACTGAAGACGCAGAATAATAACAATAATGGCAGCCAGAAATTTGGGCATAATAACTCAGCATCCAAGCTGGCATATAAGTGGACTAAAACTGGCGAATAAATGGAACCTCTCAGGCACCCTGCCAGTTCTCTACCAGTTCTTCAACAGTTCCATGACGGTTCCATGATGCCATCATAGCGCTATCATGTTACCAAGCTGGGACCTAAAATTACATGCCCAAAAGATCAGCCAGAGTTATACCATAGAGCCAGGCAAAATGTATCGCAAATTTACCACGCCACTGTCGCCTCTTTTTTTACACTATTTCAATATTTTAAAGGGCAACCAAATAGGTGCAAAAAAGAAGCATCCTTGATATCTTAACAGGCCACCAAACAGACCCAGAAGCAGAAAAACAAGCGAATAGCTCTTTAGAAACAAAAAGAACGCAAAACATTGTAAACACATGAATAAATCCTTGATAATAAAAGGAAGACAGAGCAATAAAAACAAGCAGGTAGCTACAAGGCAATAAAAGGCCACAAAGCAATGAAAACAAGCGGATAACTACAAGGCAATAAAAAGGTCACAAAGCAATGAAAATAAGCGGATAACTACAAGGCAATAAAAAGGTCACAAAGCAATGAAAACAAGCGGATAACTACAAGGTAATAAAAAGGTCACAAAGCAATGAAAACAAGCGGATAACTACAAGGCAATAAAAAGGTCACAAAGCAATGAAAACAAGCGGATAACTACAAGGTAATAAAAAGGCCACAAAGCAATGAAAACAAGCGGATAACTACAAGGCAATAAAAAGGCCACAGATCACTGAAAACAGTAACGGGATAACAGTTTAACAGTAAGTAGGTAACATTATAATGGTAAGTAGATAACATTCTAACATAATTAGATTACACTCTTATAAGAGTGTAATCTAGTTAATATATAAAATATATATAAATAAATTATTTTTGTATTTAGATTTCTTATAGAAATTTAAAATTTAAAATTATATTTAATTTTTTTTATTAATTTATATTCAAAATTTACTATTAGCAAATATTGATTATTTTGCATTTTTTAATATATTTGTTAATTATTAAAATTCTTAATAATTATTTTAAACTATATTTAACAAATAAAACAATTATTATAAAAAATTTAAACAAAATTATTTTAGATATTGATAATAATAAACATAATGAATTTTTTATTAGTATTTCTTTTAAAAATTGAATTATATAATTTATTTGATAAATTAGAAAAAGGTTTAATAGCTAATATAATAAATTATAAATTTGTAATTATTTTTTAGAAATTCAAAAACAATTTCAGATAATCTTTATTAAAGTTATGAAAATATTTAATTTATTAGATGGATTAAAATATATTAAAATTTATGAAAAATCATATCTTTTTATTTCCAATAGTAATTAATTTTGATGACTTATTTTTAAACATAGATAAATTTCTTTTAACATTATTACCAAATATTATTAAACTGTTAGTATCCTATTTCTTTTTTTTTAGTATATGATGTAGGCATAACAAATTTTAATCAAGATTATGTAATGTAATTCATGATGGATAGATTGAAGGTTTTGATTTTAGTAAATGCAATTTTCGTTTCGCAGATCAGTAGTCACATGACATGCACTTGATTAGATTAGACCGCATCTAATTTTTTTCTTTGGGAAGAAATTTCCTTTTGCTAATAATGTCATCAATCTTTCCTAATAAGAATCGAAACGAACATGAACCTAAATCTCTCTTCGATTTCAATGCACTTGTACAACAAGCAGCA